GTTCTACAGGAATGGGAGATGATGAATTACATGAAAGAATGGAGGTCAGTGTTCACACCAAACACTGGAGGCCGGAAGTTAGTGGTCCTACAGCTCTTGAGAAACATGTCCTTAGGAAGACAGGAAGGAGAACTTTGCTGCTTCTGAAGGAATTACTGTATTTCTCATTTTTATTTTCATTTTGGTAGGCCTGGATAGGCAAAGCCCTTGCAGAAAAAGATGACACTATGCTACTTTCCATTTTTCTTTTCCCTGATAGTTGTTATTAATGAAATGAATTGCAAGAATCAAGGGCATATTTTGTTTCTCTCAGCCTGACTCTGCTGAGTATCATATCAACACTGAGGTGATATTCTGAACTTAGGAGGGAGATGCAGACCTATACTCCTGTGTAGTTTCTCCTGTGGTTTTCTATTAGGGTAGTGGAAATGGCAGCTAGGCAGCACTGGCCTGATCTTCTCAGCACTGTTCTCTCTACAGAGGCCCCGCTCTCCTCTCTGGGATCCTGGGGAAGTTGGGAACCAGTGACCCTTGTGTAGGGTTTGGCAACCCATCTGAGGGTTTCCCTTCACAGCCTGTGTGAAGGACTGTTGCCCGGCTTGTATCTGGGGATGTGAGGACCTTTCCAGTTTGGAAATCAGTCAAGGAGTGTCTAAGGAGAGGCCCTTCAAGACCTGTGAAGTGGCCTCTTAGCAATTCTGTGTAGAATTTGTAGATCTGACAGAGAACTTTACAAGTGATCTTTTCGTGTGTGGGTAGTTTTTAAACAGCTGACGTCTTTTGGCGTGTACTTTGAGATCATAAATTATTTTAGTAGGAGGTTGTTCTTTTAACTTCGATATTTGGTCATTCAGCGGAGACAAGGAAATTAAACACTTATCACCTGTAATGAGTGCTTGTCACAAAAGGGCCACTGAAAAGACACTGAATAAATTTTAGTTGACATAAATCTGGCTGACTGACCAAAACCAAATAAAGCACTAAACACATGGATCCCTTAGTTAAAAGGCAGATTCTCCTTTACAGCTCTGTTTACTTCTCCCCAGGCCTCCTCCCCACCCCCTTCTGTTCTCCAAATGTAGACTGCCCCTTATCTTATAGACTTTCTCTAAATTTAGAATCAGCATTCTCTCATATCTTAGGTTGTGGTTTGTGGGCCTTCCATGCCAGGAGCTTCTAAATTAGCGTTTTTAAGATGGGATTCTTTCTCTTCCACTGTTGACTTTGATTTCCCTAGTTGAATTTTATTTATTTGGACTGGAATAAGACTCTTCAGTGGTTGGCCTCATACTTCTTGGTGATATATATATTATTACACATATACTTGAGATGGGACAGCCTCTGTTCATTTTGGGAGAAGTTAAGGCTTCTTAGCTTTGAGAGATTCTGGAAAACACTTTGCCTTCTGTGGAGAAGTCAAGTTTTGCTGTTAAAATAGTTAACAACTATAGCAGTAACAAATGTAGTAGGTGTCCTGCCTATTACTTTGTACACTGAATAAATGAAACTTTGTTTTTTAATGGCAAAGCAAGAGGCCTTTTCCTGTTAGAGAACTCAAAGGAGAAAGGTTGTATTGGTTTGGTTTTTCTTGAAAAGCATATTAATATCTCTATTTCTTTGTCTTATCAGCCCAACTCAAAAACTCTACTTTGGAACTAAACCTTGAAAAGGTAAAATTAATATTTGAAAAATGCTAGAGCAAGAGTCAGAGAAAAAGCTAGGACACATCCCTTCTTTGCTGTTTTATTTACTTAGATTTAATGTTCTTCTCTTTGCCTAGTTTTGTCCATGTAGAAACTGGGGAGGTAAAGATGCTTAGCAGTAGATGTTTCTATCAATCAGGTTCTTTATAAAGCAAGTATTTTTAAGATCCAACCCTAGTCCCCTACTAAATTGTAAAATAAATATGTGCTATTGAGAGAGACAAAGTAAACAGTGCCTAATATAATCAAGATTCTGTCAACAAATCCTTTGAAGGATAAAGTATAGATATATCCTGTTAAAAATATGAGTAAATTAAACACCCAGGAGTGATTCTGGAGTCACTTGGCTGTTGAGTTTGTGGTTAATTCAGGCCTCCTCCCCCATCTGCTTTTAGTCCTCCACAGGGTTTATCCACATTGTCAGCCAACCACTGTGACACCTCCCCAACCCCTTCCTGAGGTACCGAGCCTACACCCTCCTCTGTGGCCTTTACCATCTTCCTCAGTAGCGTCCCTAAAATTCCAACCATGGTGGTTTCCCTGTCCCAAAACACTGGCTCTCTGAGGCACAGTTCTGTCCTTGGTTTCTTTGTGCCTTCTGCATGAAACATGATGTCTTGGCTTAGTGGCTTAGTAGACACTCATCTGTTTGATTAATATACAAATGGGTGAATGAATGGAGTTTAAAACCAGAGCACACAACATCAGGTGAAGGCTAACTAGAAACGCGAACAACGGTATTATGGAGGGCTGGAGAACAGAAGGAATTCCATACAGAATCTGAGTACCTCCCCCAGGGGCAGGGCTTGAAGATTAGGATTCTCTAGGTGCAGGGAAATGTACTTACAACATCCAAGTATAGTAAGAAAGGGGACTGTGAAACAGTGTGATGAAGATGCAGTGGAACTGAGCCTCGGAGGGGAGATTGGTCCGGATCACATGCCCTTGAATGGCATGCTTGGCAGAGTCTGGATGGCTGACTGGAGCAGGGTATGCGCTGGGGCTGGCTGCCTGCCATCATTCTTGCTAACTGACCTTAAGCACATTTGCTAGTCTCTAAGGATAGCTCTTGCAGTAAAAAAAAGAGGTAGAGGAGGAAGAAGAGTTTGTCAGAGCAGGAAGGAAGTCTGTTTTCGATCGGACAGTACCTGGCACGAGCTTGCTGGCAGCCGGCATCGAACAAATGAATTTATGACCCAGATAAGAAATGCTGAACCCCAAGGTTATGAACCATGGCCATGCTGTGGAAATGGATAACTTAATTTTGTTCCTTGTTCTTCCTCTCAAAAGTGTTTAGGTGGGAGAAGTTTCCAACCTTGAATTTTTTATTTTTATATGTATGAGTGTATTCTTGCATGTATGTAAGTACACCCCTGTCACGCAATGCCCGAGGAGGACAGAAGAAGGTGTTGGATTCCCCTGGAACTGGAGTTAGGAACAGTTGTTATGTGGGGTGTTGGGAATTGAACCTCTGCAAGCGTGGCCAGTGCTCTTAACCACTGACCCATCTCTCCAGTCCCCAACCTTAAATATTTTTAATAAAACATTTTAGTTAATTCTTTGAGAATTTCACACATGCATATAGTGTAAAGTCATGTTACCCATTCTCCCTCTTCCCACTCCTCCTGGATCTCTTCCTCCCAAGTCCTCCTCCCAACGTTATGTGTTTTTGTTTTTGTTTTTTTCTTTTTATAACCTACTAAGTCCAATTAGTGGTACCCATATACACATGCGTTTGGACTGTCCACTGAAGTATGGTTAACCTACTAGGGACCACACCCTAAAAAAACCTGATTCAGGAATTACCTGTCAATAGCTCCTCAGCTGGGGGGCGGGGGAGGAGGTTCATGTACCCTGCCCCATCCCATGATGGAATGTTGACTGGCTCAATCTTGTATAGGTCTTTTGCAGATAGTCACAGCTGCTGTGAGTTCATGAGTGCAAATGCAATGGTCCTGTCATGTCCAGAAGATACTGTTTTGCTCTGGTGTTCCCCGACCTCTGGGTCTTACAGTCTTTCTGCCCCCTCCTAGGCCACGTTCTCTGAACCTTGAGGGGAGATGGTATGATGCAGATGTTCCATTTATGGCCGAGCACTCCAGACATTTATTCTCTGCACTTTGACCAGTTGAGACTATATTACTCTGCTCACTGCCCAAAGATGCTTCTCTTTTGAGGACTGAGATCATACTAATCTATGGGTCTAGAGAAATGTGTTTAGAAGGCAATTTGATACTATGTCCAGTTAGCAAAGTGATAGGAGGCGGTGAACTTCTAGGGCCTATGAACTCCCATGCATCAGTTCTTAGATTTATAGCACTGGGCATGAGTTTCCTCCTGTGGAATAGGTTTTGAATCTGATCAGAAAGCAGTTGATTACCCACTCTTGTACCCATGGGCATATTTTGTCAAGATGGCCATTATGGTAGCTTTCAGGGTTCACAGCTCGATAAAGCTAGCCAGGAAGGAAGAAGCTTCCAGGTCAGCACCACCTTAATTTCTCCAAGTCTTGTGACCAAAGTGTGTGGTGTCTTCAGCAGTAGGGTCTCATCGTCAAGTTCTGGTAGGCAATCAAGACCAATGACAATAGCCTGCATTGTTTTGGGGGTGTCTTTGACTCCCCCTGACCAACAACTCAAGGGGCAGTATCCTACACCTGGCCCTGAGCTTTTTATTTGACAACCTATGGTTTCTGGGAGGAGCATTATTCCCCACGTAAGATAAGTTCATTTAAACTCTTTATATGGTTGGGTGTGATGGCACATGCCTCCCAGCACTTGGGAGGCAGAGGCAGGTGGATCTCTCTGAGATTGAGGACAGCCTGGTCTACATAGCAAGTTCCAGGTCAGCTGGGGCTACAGGGAGACCCTGTCTCAAAATGACCTAAATAAATAAATAAATAAATAAATAATAAATATTCTTGTGTGTGTATGGATAGATGGATGGATGGACAGACAGGCAGATATATAGAAATAGATAAAATAGGTTTTGTACAGCTTTTTCAAACACCCTTAGTGTGTTACCCCTCCCCCACACCTCCTCTTCCCTACAACTTTTCTAGCCTATGTTTTACTTGTGTGCACTCCAATTATTGATCTAAATTGGTAGAAGAGACTTAAAATAATAACTTGTATAGCTTATTTGTAATTTGAAGAGGAAATTCTGAAGGAGATTATGTTTAAGAAACAATGTGAAGAAATCCCGAAAAGAATTTGGGGCTCTGGTGTCTTGCCTGAGTTCGGTTTTTCTTTTTTTGCTTGTTTGTTTAAGGATGTTTGCAATTTCTTTTTTTCACAGCTGAACACTTTCCAGGCACTTCTGGCATCGGATGAATCTGATACCTACGCCCTCTTTCTCTATCCTACCAACGGTCTTCAGTTCTTTGGAACCCGCCCTAAAGAGTCTTACAATGTCCAGCTCCAGCTGCCGGCTAGAGTGGGCTTCTGCCGAGGGGAGGCGGATGACTTGAAGAGAGAAGCGCCATATTTCAGCTTGACTAACACCGAACAGTCTGTGAAAAATCTCTACCAGTAAGTAAGGTGGAGTGTAAGCCCTATGCTGTTCCAGTGAAAGGACTTTTAGAAGGGACCCAATCCTGGGTCAAAATCAGGAGCTAAATTGGACCCTGGGAGGATCAGGTTCTCCAGGATATTGAAAGGTGTTTTTTTTACCCTGTCCCATCAGGCATAGAGGCCAGACACAGCAATAATTATCTGTGTGTATTCGCAGAGCCACTGAAGCTTGCTAGGAAAAACATTGCTCTAGAACTATGTAAAAATATCCAGTCATACAGCTGCCTTGATGAAGGCCTTTCAGGTTAATCATCTCCCAGGAGGTGACATTGTGACTTAGTCTTTAAAACAGATATTGTTAAAGATTAAATTAAGACTAATACAATTTGGAAACAATATTAACGTGGATGGTAGGCATTTAGAAGTCTTAGAATTTCTCTTACAGCTTCCTTGCCTGAAATCATGCTGGTAGGCTTATCCTGGTGTTGCCAGAATCAAACCCTTTTCTTAATTTCACCTGTGGCTTACCCTGCTTGTGCAACAATAATCCATTCTGCATTTTGTCAGTCCAGTTAGTGGTAGTGTGAGATTTATTAACCCCCAGTGGGTTTCATTTTGTTTGCTGTCTTTGCTTCCAGGAGTGCGGGTCTAGACCATGTTAGTTATTTCCTGGCCTCTCTAAACTGCTTCTCCGTTGTATTAAATCACTCCTGGGAATAGGCACACCTCACCCTTTTGATGCCATCTGCTCTGCTTAGCAGCCAGAGAATGGGCATTGCTGCCAGATAGGGTTATTCAACAGAAGTTTATTGAGAGCTTACAATATTTGCTAAGCATTGTGATAAACAATTCCAGATGTTATCCTAATTAAAACTCAGCTCACAGGAAGTAAGTACTACTATTTTCTCAATTTTACAAATAACCTTAGGGAAATTAAGTAAGGTCCGTATAATGTCAGAGTTAAGCTACCAAGCCATAGTCCAAGTACCAATCTGGAGTGCTGAAACACTGATTATATTTTATGCAGCGCCTTTGTCTCCCTTCCTGTTCTGTGACCCGCGCCAGGCGCTTCTCGATTTCTATCTAATCTGCCATTTAGTTTAGACTCTGATACAAACTTAATTTCTTGGCATCTCTCCCATCACCTCTCCTCTTTTCCACTACAGAGCTTAAGATTCTCTTCTTCCCAGACAGTATGAAGAGCCCATGGAGGAGGAGGGCTGAGCATTTGAAGTACAAAGATTCTTTTTGGTTTGGTTTATTTTTAAAAATTTTATATGTATGAATGCTTTGCCTGCATGTATGTAAGTATACTAAGTGCATGCAATGCCCACAGAGGCTAGAAAAGGATGTCAGATCCCCTGGAACTGGAGTTAGGAATGGTTGTTAGCTGCCATGTGGGTGCTAGGAACCGAATCCAGGTTCTCTGCAAGAGCAGCCAGTGCTCTTAACTGTTGAGCCATCTCTCCAGACCCCCCTTTTTGTTTGTTTGTTTGTTTGTTTCTTCTTGTTTGGTTGGGTTTTTGTTAAGACAGGGTCTCCCTGTAGACCAGGCTGGTCTTGAACTCATAGAGATTTTCCCTCTTCTGCCTCCTGAGTGCTAGGATTAAAGGCATGCACCACCATACTGGGCATCAAAATACTAAGATTCTTAAGGCACAGGCCCTGCACACCAACAGCTTGTCCTCTGGTAAGGTGGACTGAGAATCCCAGAGCACTGGAATAAGTGTTGGTGTCTGCATAACCAGAGGACACAGGGTGTGTGTGTACAGGCTCGCCCGTGCACATGCTTGCAAAAGACTTCAAGTGGCAACCAGTGCTAACTGTGTTAACTGTCCAGTGCAGAAAGTTTGTCAAACCAGAATTTTGTGTGTGTGAGGGGTCTCATATAAGGCATTTTTACATTTATCTTTCAGTCATTTTTCAGGAAGATACCTGTCTATATTATCATTTTAAGGGTGTAAGCATTGCATCATGTATGTTCAACTTTATAAATTAGAATTAAAGTAAGTCACAAGCATAGCCCTAGTTCACTCCTAAATACTTGGGGTGTGCAGGTCAAGGGCATTTTCCTAATCATGGAATCTCTTCCTCATACTTCTCTCATGTCTCATGTAAATTTAAAAGTCATACATTATTCATGTTTGCAGTGACCTGCATATTTAAATATGAAAGTGCACATTTGCATTTTAGGGGATTATGTTTTTCAGTCTTCAGGAAGGAAAGGTGGTAGTTATTAAGTAGGTGTTCCCCACAGGGCCTGTGCTGGGCCTTGATGTGGTTTTCTTGCCGGATCTTCCTTAGAACCCAGGGTGGAAGGCATGGCCACGCCATTTGTAATATGGTTTTCCTTTCTAGGAGATAAATTCTGTCACTGAGCTTTCCAAATGACCTTGGAGGGGCTGGAGAGATGGCTCAGGGGTTAAGAACACTGGTTGTTTTTGCAGAAGACCCTGGTTCGAATCCCAGCACCTGCATGGCAGCTAACAACTGTCCATAACTCTAGATCCAGGGGATCTGACAGCCTCTTCTGTTCTCCAAGGGCATTGCAGGACACGGGTGCACTTACCTACATGCAGGCAATACACTCATACACGTAAAATAAAAATAATAAATAAAATATATTTAAAAAATTATAAAAAAAGACCTTGGGGTGTAGGATAAACTCTAACTGGTTAGCTTCCCATTAAAGACAATGACCTCAGTCAGGATATTGATATATATTTTATCAGAAACCATTTTATTTAGCTTTTATCTTTCATAATTTGTATTTTTCTAGTCTTCAAAGCTCTTATTGATATCTGTTTTTAATTCAAGAAGAAATTTTACAGCTGCAGCTCCTCTCTAATGTGATAATATACTCATTTTTAATTACATTTGTTCTGTTTGTGTGCGTGTAGGTCAGAGGACAACCCTTGAGGTGGTTCTCTCCTTCTACTTTGTGGGTTCTGGGGATAAAACTCAGATGCTCAGGCTTGTTGGCAAGCACGTTTATCTGCTGAGCCATCTTCCAGATTGAATTTTCTCTGTCTTGTTTAGTTTCTTATATGCTTGTCAGAAAACATCAACATTAAACATACCAAGTGAAGGCTAGAGATATAGGTCAGTTGGTAGAGTGACTGCCTCACACACACAGCCCTGGGTTCAATCCCCAGTAAGACATAAATTGCACACCGTGGCTCACACCTGTAATCCCAACACTTGGAAGGGAGGCAGAAGAATCAGAAGTTCAAGGTCATCCTCCACTACAGGGTGAGTTTGGGGCTAGCCTGAGCCATGTATGACTTGGTTTTGAGAAACAAGAAGAAAGGATAGCGAGTGAACATAGTACTTGGCACCAAGGATGGCACTGTAGCTTTCTATGCTTCCTCTACCTAGATTAACTATATCAGGAACAACGTACGTGCACAGGGTCACAGGTGGGGCAGTGGACAGACACAACATGAAGACAGGGACACACAGAATCTCAGATTATATTGAAAAATATTACAGAGATAGAATCTAGATTAACACTGTAATTCTTACCTGAAGGAACAAAATCTTTTGTTTCAATGAATTTCTAAATTTTCTTATTAGTCACTTACCCTTATTCCTCACTGTTGACTTTTGAGGAAATTTTATAGTTCAGGAGAATTTGAGCATGGTATTTGTACAAACGCTAGAATAGTACAGAAACTGGTCTGTGCAAGCTTGCCAGACTCTTATTAGCTCGAGTCTTCCTGAAGTTTTAGAAATCTTATGTGCAATTGTTTTTTCAGAACTTATCACTGAAATCATGGATTATTGAGGCTAGTGATGACACAAACCTGTAATCCCAGCAGGAGGATATCAGGTTCAAGTGAAACTCTGTATGGTGAAACTGTGTGTCAAAAAAAAGAGAAATGATTATCGGGCTATTTGAAAAGTCTGAGTGGAGTTCACGGTCTATTGGAGAAAATGAACATCTGTTTCCAGATAGTTCTGAAAAGGTTTCTCAGTTGTGACTCATTTTGATTAAGCTATATGATTATTTTCTCCCAGGTTCTGATTTACTCAAAACTTTTTAGACTTCAACATTAAAAAATAATTATATTGATTTATTATCCTCTGCCATTAATGGATTATTCCATGTAATGGTGCAGGGCCTTTAGGTTTTTGTTCACTGTGTATTGGTTTTTCCAATATAATAATATAGATGCTTAGAACCCAGGCTTTGTCATTAACATCGAATTCATATCCTGGCTCTGCCAGTTATTAGGCATGTACTCTTAAGAAGATTAGTTCAAGCCAGGCATGGTGGCGCACACCTGTAGTCCCAGCACTTGGGAGGCAGAGGCAGGAGGATCTTTGTGAGTTCAAGGCCAGCCTGGTCTACATAGTGAGTTCCAGAACAGCTGGGGCTACCAGGAGAAAGGCATCCCAGTGCTAGTGTCCCAAGTGATGACTCCATGGTCTGAGGAACCACACTCAGTGACAGTGTACATTCTAGCCTCACAGTCTTTTAAAGTTCATTCTAAATTTGGTTTTCACTTTTCCATTGTTAAATATAAAATACAATTGATACATGATATTTCTTTCATTCTATTTTATCTTTTGACATTCCTTAATTATTCTAGTACTTTTATAAATAGAATCATGTCATCTACAGATACAAGCAATTTTAGTTTCCTCTAATCTTTATGTTCTTCGTTTCTTTTTCTTGCTGTACTGTAGTATATCCAGTTACATAGTAGACTGAGAGAGAACATACTTGCCTTGCTCCAGGTCATAGGGAGGACTGTATGTCAAAATTTCTCTCATTCCTATCTTGCTAGTTACTTCTTCTTTTCTGATTTTTTTAAATTTATTTTTTATGTGTATGAGTGTATTGCCTGCATGTGCATAAGGGTACCCATGTCATGCAATGCCTGAGGAGGTCAGAAGAGGGCGTCAGATCTTCTGGAACTGGAGTTAGGATGGTTGTTAGCTGCCATGTGGGTGCTGGGAATTAAATTCAGGTCCTCTGCAAGAGCAGTCAGTGCTCTTAACTACTGAGCCAACTCTCCAGCTCCTGTGGTGAAGAATTTTAAGCACAAATTTTCATCCAAGTAGAGGAAGGATCAAATAGCCCTTTATTCCCTGTTTGTTTCCAAATAGCCAGGTTTTAGATAAAACATTTGGATTTGGATTATAGAGGAGATTTATAACTTGATGGTTTGGTGTTCCGAGCGTAGTGTTAAAAGGTAGCTTATATAAAAATTCCAGTATCAGCCTCATTTACCTCACAAGTTTGTTTTTATTTAGTGGCATACATCGGTGGAAATTCTGACTCTGCCTTTTAGTTTTTTTGGTTTCAAAATAAGTTGCTCACTTTGTGTGAAGGAGGATGCGTGGAGGTATTTGCTACAATCAGCTGTTTCCTTTGTTCCTAGACTAAGCAACCTGGGAATTCCTGGAGTGTGGGCTTTTCATATTGGCAGCAGGTCTCCTCTGGATAATGTCAGGCCAGCAACAGTTGGAGACCTTTCCACATCCCGATCTTCAGCTCCTCTGGAACCCTCCTTCAGCCATGCTGCAGCTCTGGGAAGCGACTATACTGAGGACAATTTGGATTACTACGATGAGAATGAGGAGGAAGTTGAATACCCACCAATTGAACCGGTGGATGGCCACAGCAGAATTGATGTGTCCTTCACTTCAAAGACTGATCCAGGCCCTGTGGAAAGTGGAACCTTATCTCCAGATTCAGATCCGGCCTCCCTTTTGCCACACCCAGCACCTAGTGGCTGGCCATCCTACCGGGAAAGAGAATTAGCCTTGCTGGACCCTCAGACCAAGGAGAGGGAATCTCCAGGGGCCATAGAGACCATGGATTTCAAGGACCAAGTGGAGCCACTGGATCAGACAGGAACAGGAGCCCTGACTCCTTTAGAGGTAGATGGAGATTCACTGGCTCCAGCACAAGAGGACACCGAAAACAGGAGTATCCAACCCTACCCCAATAGAGGGGCAGTGCCTTCAGAACCCGATGGTCCTGCTCCTCCTCTGGAAGGAAAAGTCCTTCCTGATCACCCAGTGTCTCACGTGCCACCCCAGAGTCGAGGGAGGTATGTGATAGGAGCAGAGGACCATGTGAGTGCCAATGCTGAAGGTAAGTGAGAAAAACTGGGTGTTGAGGTTTCATTTTTAAAAATGTAGTGTTGGGCTGGAGAGATGGCTCAGGGTTAAGAGCATTGACTGCTCTTGCAGAGGACCAGGTTTGGTTCCTAGCACCCCAATGGCGGCTAACAGTTGTCCACAACTCTAGTTCCAGGGGATCCACTGCCCTCTTGCTGACCTTGAGCACTGCACAACATGGGTGTACTTATATACAAGCAATACATTGATACGCCAACTGTCCTGAATGGGAGCAGTTACTTGATAGTAACTGTCCTGAATGTGTCTCAAGCCACTGGCTTGAGTGTGACATCCAAAATGTGTCACTGCTTCTCGGGAGAGCTTAGGACAGGCGCAATGGACAGAAGAGATTCTCACACACGACTGTTTGATTGCATTATGCGTTTACTAGGTCAAAGCATAACAAACACACATCAATACAAACACTCAAAGGGAAACCCGGTCCTCTAGCAGTTAAGAGTCCCAAAGCCTCTTGGGCTACCTTCCAGAGGTTAAGCCTTCAGGCCCTCCGGGTGGAGAGGTTCTCTAGTCCGCCGTGATCGGTGCACTCTCCCAGCTGAGGAGCTGTCTCTTGCAGGTTCTGATCACTTCTGGTCGTGGCAGGCTCCTGTCAGTCTCTGGCTCTCAGGCAGAGGTCCTCGATCAGGTCTCAGGCGAGGCTCCGGTCTGGTCTCGGGCAGAGCTTCAGGTAGCGGTCTCAGGATTTGGGCAATGTGCCGGGATGAGGCCCACGGATTCAGAGTCTCGTGTGGCCAAGCATCAAAAGAATCTTTTTAGCTACCAGCTTTTATACCTTTCTTTTTTGGCTGGGGTCCTTCTGACTTACGTCAGTAACTTCAGTGGTTTCTTGAGATATGGCTCACACCCTGTGGTCACTTATCACCAGCACACAGACACTCAACTCACATAGGTTCTGTTTGGTTGCTGAGTTACGACTTAGCTTCTTATCTACTTATCTATTTCACACAGTGTCACAGCAATGTTCAGTTTGGTTTCAGAGTTTACAGAGTTAATATTCATCTTTAATTTCTGATTTCTAAATTCCTAATACATTCAGTACACATATAAAATTAAAAAATGAAATATTAAACGTAATGTTATCAAGCTGGGCATGGTGACTGACATATAGTAACCCCAGTACTCGAGGCTGAGGCTGGAGGATAACCCAAATTCAAGGCCAACCTAGGCTCCATAGTGAATTCTAGACCAGCCTGGATTATGGCGTGAGACCTTATCTTTAAAAAAAAAAAAAAAAAAAAAGAGTTTTGATTTTTTTTCTCTTAAGTGAATAGGTGAAAAGTTTAACAAGAAGATTGGAAGTGATTTTTACTCCCTGTGTTTAATGAGATAAAATTTCCTTGCCAAATCAGTCTTGGCAGCAGAGTTCTGGTTGGAATCTCCTGACCATTAATAATGTGTTCTGAAAACTGGGCCTCGCGGAGTGGGAAAAACTGGGCTGCCAGCTAAGCTCCCAAGTGCAATGAAGTATTTGGTTTGCAAGTTCAGGGTAGGTGAAATAGTTTGAGGCTTCGTTTGCTTACAGGGATGGGGGCTCAGCTGTTTGGCTTTAAATATGGTGAGTCGTGCAGACTCAGACTGACGTGCCAGGTCCCTACTTGCTCAAGGGACAATCCCTGTGCTTCCTTTGGTTAGAGACTTAGAGACTTATGGTGTGGGGGCCAGCAGAGCCCACAGGGAGAGAAGACACTAGACACCTGTTCCTGTTGTCATTTCTGGTTCCCGGCGATGCAGCTGTGGCATTCACCTCCCTGGAGCCTCATCTTCCTTCACTGAGTGACTCACTGACCGGAGCCGGACAGAGGAGGGGAATACCCAGAGGGCACAGTGCCTCATCAACAGGGATGGAATGAGAGACTGGCCCTAGGTTCATTCCCTTTGTTCCAAGGCTTGTTCACTGACCTGCCAAGAGGAAAGGGTCAGAGGTGACAGCTTTTTCCGTTTTGATTCATTTTCATTTTCCATTTCTGTTACATCCCTGACCTAGCAAACAGGGCCTTCTGGGTTCTCCTGTTAAATTTTTTGCAGGATCTTGCTTAGAGAAGTACTTATTTCAGGAGGGAAGTAAACATTTTATGCTTACTATTTCATTGACCACTGATTGGGGAAAGAGAATTGGTGTTGAATTTCAGTCTCCCCTGTCTCGAGGCAACTATACTTCTTATTTCTCACATTTTACCAGGATTAGATGAGAATGCATGTGAGGCTCTCAGTGCCTGAACTAGTTGGGTTTTTAAAATAAATAGTGGCTGCTGTTTACTAATTCTAGAAGATTTAAAACATTGAAACGGGGTGAAAGGTGAACATCAGGGATGGAAAACGGAAAAGGTGGGGAAAAAAGAGATTCATTAAAAAAAAAGTGTTTGCTTCTGACATCCCTCTGTGGTAGTGAGCAGCCATTTCTGTACAGTTGGAAGGTTTCCAATCTTCAAATTCTTTCAGCCATCTCCAAGGTGTCAGTGTGTATGTTCTGAAGACCCACATATCCATCAGAGAATACCTTTGTGATATAGTTGCATTTCTGCTTCCGGGTTGTGATTTCTTGGCCCAGAAGAGTCTGGGAATATGGAAGAGCAGATCTGCATGCAGGCTCCTGCACCCAGGATAGTGATGAATATGACCCAACAAAAGATTTTAAACTTATTTAAAACTATGAGATTTTTTTTTTTTTCTTTGTAACTAGACTGCAGTTTTTACAGTGTTAACTTTGTAGATGACAATGTATCACAATGTCAAAGGGTTGAACTTGCCTTTTAAGAACCCAGAAAGGTCTGTATATCCTGTCTTGAGCAGTGAGATGAGGTTGAACTGGCCATTGAGCACTGAGGGTGTCTGCACCCTGGTGGGACATGAGCTGTGATATTTATCAACTGCCAAATGTAGCCAACTACCGACATCAAGGAAATGGCAAATGTGGAAAAGCTGATTCAAGTGCTGGAACATCTAGGGGCAAAGTCTAGCTAGAGGTTTTTAAGTGTTGGAGGAAAAAAAAAATCTCTCTTTTTAAATTAAAAAAATTTTTAAATTTACATTATTTTTTAATTTTATGTGTATGCGTGTATTGCCTGCATGTAAGTAAGTGCACCCATGTTGTGCAGTGCCCTCGGAGGTCAGAAGAGGCTGCTGGATCCCCTGGGACTGGAGTTATGGACAGTTTTGAGCTGCCATGTTTGTGCTTGGATTCGAACCCTGGTCTTCTGCAAGAACAACTAGTGTTCTTAACCTCTGAGCCATCTCTCCAGCCCCTAAATTTAAAATTTTTATATAAATATTTTTGGAGTGTATGTGTGTATGTATGTGTTGTGTTCGTGTGTGTTCATGTGTGTGAAAATCCAGCACTTAAAAAAAAGAATTTAGTGAGTTGTGTGAAGTATAGAAACATCTAATTGTTACTTTCAAACAAAATGCTGGAGTCCCAGGGGGTTATTAGGTGACTGTGGGCTCACCTGGGAAGCTGGTGGGACCCACGGAACCTGCCAAGAACAAGCCACGCAGCAGAAAAGTGCATGGGTTTTGGTGCAGGTGTGCCTGAGCCTTAGTCCAGCTCTGCTGTGTGGTTTGAAGCAAGACACTGTTTGACCCTTGTCCTCAACAATAATATGGAGCCATTAAGCAGTCATAAGAGTTAAAATTGGGCTTTTCCAATACATTTTAGCTTCCCTTTTAAGCTTATAATACTCAGCTTGCTAGACCAGGGAATTAAGATTTTGTAAAGGGGCAAGAAAATCTCTCCTCTTTAGTGTTTTTCTCATTAGAGACTCTTGTGTGTGTGTGTGTGTGTGTGTGTGTGTGTGCATGTGGAGGCTGGACAACAACCTTGAGTGTCAGCCTTAGAAATATCATCCACCTCCATATAGTCTCGGCCTCTTAGTGGCCTAGAACTTGCAAAGCAGGTTTTACTGGCTGAGCCCCAGGTTACCCCTCTCTGCTTTTACATTGATTCTGGGACTCAAACTCAGGTCCTAATGCTTGCAAGGCAAGCACTTCACTGACTGAACCGTTTTTTTGTTTTTTGTTTTGTCTTTTTGAAACAGGGTCTCCCTGTAGCCCCAGCTGGCTTGGAACTCATTATGTAGACCAGGCTGGCCTTGAACTCACAGAGATACACTTGCTTCTGCCTTCCAAGTGCTTTTTCTAAATTCAGAAATCTAGCTTCTTTTCAAATTATGTCTACATACCAGGCATACTCTGGTTCTGGCTGTATGTCACTTGCTTTGATCTGCTTTCGTAAATCACAGAGCCAGCAGTGCAGCGGATGTGTAAGCATCCTTTCCCCAAGATGCTTTGCTTATTCCAGGGAGTTCAGTAGTTTGTTGTTAAGCCAAGAGATCATGCAGACAGCACCTGTGATTTTTCTCTGCGGAGACACCAGGGGAAATTTCCTTAAGATGTACTGTGTCTGCTGGTTCTCTAGGCAGGAATTTTGCTGTGGATTACATTTTCTTGGTTGGTGCTCAGAATTGCCTCCAGATAGTGTTGACCTTTCTGTCTTGCAGAAGTGGAAACAGAAGGTTGCAAATGGGTAGGAATTTGTGGCCCCAGCCTTAGTGGAGGAACTATTGACTATTTATTGATTACTGCTGGGTGAGGGAGAGTTGATCTTTAAGGAAGTGACTGTAGGCTGACTAGACTCCAGTGGATGAACTTATACCAAGGGACATCTAGGTACAAAAGCTTGACTCTGTAGGCCTTAACATATATGACAGAATACACGAAATTCGGTGGGGGGGGGTATGGTGAGTACACATGGGAGGTTCTAAATATGATTAAGATTTATTGTATGAAATGCACAAAAATTCAATAAAAGAAAAAAATTCAATAAAGAAAAGATTTTTTTAAATTTAAAAAGAGGCAAATGTGACTGCAGGATGGCCGGGTACCCCACTGTGGGGCCACATCTGTGCTTGAGACTGCAACCAGGGAAGGAGGGGCCTCTTGAAGCAGGCCTTGAGATCT